CCCACCAGTCGTGGATCCTGCGGTTCCTGAAACAAGAGAGAAGAATATGGATAAGTTGATAAATATTTATTTATTTATATTTTTATGAAATTATTTATTTATATATTTATTTTTACAGTATTTGTATTGTTCATTGTAATCTTTTACTGTTGTTCATTTTAGGTAGACAATTTTAAGATCTGTCCAGGGACAACAGATGAAAAATAGCCTTTTGGCTAATTCTGGTACATTTACAGTAATATCAATTAATGTACATTGTCCCTGTCAAATAACTAACTAAATAAAATAAATAAAAGTTAGCATAGCATTTATATAGTTATTTAGATTATTTTTGAAAACGATCAGGATAGAGTATTGTTGCATCTATTTAGCATAGCATTATATAGATCATTTAGATTATTTTGTGTAGTTAGTAGCATAGTACAGTTAGGATAGCTTCAAGTTAGCATAGATTTATCAGTGTTTAGTACAGTGATCAGGATAGTAACGGAATAGAGGTGGACATGGGCTTCTCCACACGCAGTGCCAAACACTGCTCGTCCTGCATGGACTCCTCCACCGCAGCGGCGTCTTGATGTGAGTCAAGTCAAGTCAAGTCACATTTATTTGTATAGCGCTTTTCACAATACAGATTGTATCAAAGCAGCTTCACAGTGATAACATGAAAGTAGCACAACACAGATCAACAACATTGCTAAACACTAAATAACCCCAACTGAGCAAGCTCAAAGCAAGCCAAAAGCAAGGCGACAGTGGCAAGGAACCAAACTCCATCAGATTGGATGGAGAAAAAACCTTGGGAGAACCCAGGCTCAGTCGGGGGCCAGTTCTCCTCTGGCTTACATTCATATTGTTTAAATATAAATATTAAATATAAATATTGTTTATGAATCAAACGGCGCCATAACATATCGCAGGCGTTGAGTCGTCTCATCACAGGCGTTGAGTCGTCTTATCACAGGCGTTGGGGCATCCGAAATCCCCGTGAGAGGCTGGACACAAAACTGGACCTGACGAACGCCATTTTTCTCGGGACAAGCGTCCCGAGATAACAGCAGAAAGGCAGATGGGAAATAATTAGCATAGCTGATGTTCATAATGATTTCCGTTATAACTCACAAACTCTCCGTAACCCGAACTCTCCGCAACCCAACCATACGCGCCGACCCGTTTGTCTAAAAGGCTGTCGAGCCCCACTGGTGCGTTAAGCAGTTTCAGTGGCAAACGGTTCCGTATGGCATAACAGAGGACTAGAAGGTAAGCATTATGTGAATGCTTGACTAAAGAGATGCGTCTTTAATCTAGTTTTAAACTGTGTGAGCGAGTCAGAGCCTCGGACCGTATCGGGAAGGCCATTCCAGAGTTTTGGAGCTAAATGCGAGAACGCCCTCCCTCCTTTACTGGACTTCGATATCCTAGGAATGACCAGAAGCCTTGAATTTAGTGATCTTAAGGAACGCGGTGGATTGTAGGGCGAAAGAAGGTCCCTTAAGTACATAGGTGCTAAACCATTTAGGGCTTTATAGGTTAGTTGTAGTATTTTGATGCGGAACTTAATAGGTAACCAGTGTAGAGATGATAAAATCGGTGTTATATGATCATATTTTCTTGACCTAGAAAGAACTCTAGCAGCTGCATTTTGTACTAACTGTAGCTTGTTTATTGAGGATGCAGGACAACCGGCTAATAAAGCATTACAGTAATCTAGTCTCGAGGTCATGAATGCGTGAACTAATTTTTCTGCATCAGAGATAGATAGCATGTTACGTAGCTTAGCAATGTTTCTAAGGTGGAAAAAGGCTGTTCTTGTAACATATGAAATATGCTTTTCAAAAGACAAGTTGCGGTCTAGTACAACACCCAGGTCTTTTACTGTAGTGGATAAAGTAACAGGACATCCGTCTATATTAAAATTGTATTGTGAGAGGTTTTGTGAGTAGTTTTTTGGACCAATAAGTAATACCTCTGTTTTATCTGAATTTAATAGCAGGAAATTACGCGTCATCCAGCATTTTATATCTTTGAGACACTCTGTCATTTTAGATGAGTTAGTGTTTTCATCTGGTCGTGATGAAATATATAATTGAGTGTCGTCAGCATAACAGTGGAAATTAATTCCATGTTTTCTTATAATATTATCAAGTGGCAGCATATATATTGAGAATAGCAGAGGGCCTAAAACCGATCCTTGCGGTACTCCATAGTCTACTGACGTTATCTTTGATTTTTTCCCATTTAAACAGACAAAATGATAACGGTCCGATAAGTACGATCTAAACCAGCTTAATGCCTGTCCCTGAACACCAGAGTAGTTTTGTAGTCGATCCAAGAGTATTATATGATCTATAGTGTCGAACGCAGCGCTAAGATCAAGTAGGACTAGTATTGAGATACAGCCTTGGTCAGAAGCTAAAAGTAAATCATTTGTAATTTTAACTAGCGCAGTTTCTGTACTATGATGCGGTCTGAATCCTGACTGGAATTTTTCATAGATATCATTTTCTTGCAAAAAAGAGCACAATTGAGCGGACACTACTTTTTCTAGTATTTTGGACATAAATGGAAGATTTGAAATGGGTCTGTAATTTGCCAAGTTATTTGGATCTAATTGCGGTTTCTTAATGAGCGGTTTTATTACAGCCAGCTTGTATATTTTTGGGACATGACCTTAAGATAAAGACGAGTTAATAATATTGAGGAGAGGCTCTTCCACTACAGGTAATAGTTCTTTCAGTAGTTTAGTGGGTATTGGATCTAATAAACAAGTTGTTGGTTTAGATGCAATGATAAGTTTATTTAGCTCCTCCTGTCCTATCGTTGTAAAGCGGTTTAGTTGTTCTAGAGGGGCCATAATTGAAGCTGAATCATAAGACACCATAGCGGATTGTACATTTATAATTTTGTTTCGGATGCTTTCTATTTTCGCATTGAAGTAATTCATAAAATCATTACTACTAAACTGTAAAGGTATATTTTGTTCTGGTGATGTCTGTTTATTTGTTAGTCTAGCCACGGTGTTAAATAAAAACCTTGGATTATTTTGGTTATTTTCGATTAGTTTGCGGAGATGCTCAGCCCTGGCTGTTTTTAGTGTCTTTTTATAACGTGACATACTGTCTTTCCACGCGATTCTAAAGACCTCTAAATTAGTTTGTTTCCATTTACGCTCTAAGTTGCGAGTTTCTCTCTTGATAGCATGCGTAGCACTGTTGTACCATGGTGCTTTAATTAAGTGTCCTCTGTCTGCTTCGTTCTTCTCCAATGATGTCTGCTGATTGCAGAACCTCATTAAAATAAGGTAAATACAACTACTAACCACAGTCAACATGATTAAAAAAAGTCCGCTGGCGCTTCAGTGACTACCTCGCTCAGAGAACCTGTCAATCATGATGTCAGAGCGCCGTTATTTTATCATCACATAACTAACTAAAAACAAACTTATTTTAAAAATGAACACTTGAAATTACATCAACGTGATAGAAACTACAGTAAATGACAGAAACTATCTTTGGAAAAAGGATATGTGAAGTGTAATTTAATTGTTTAGTTGGTCTCGCGTCCCATTGAATAACATGGGGAGGCGGGGGTTATGACTAGGATTAAAAAAAAAGTAAATTACACTAAAAATATTAATAAAAAATATTATATATATATATATATAGCTTTTTTTTAAGCAACGCAAAATTGCGCTTGTGAGCGCTGGCAATTTCGATGACGTCACTGGCATGGTAGGACCCGCGGAGCTGCATAGACAACAGCTGCAGGTCCTATACAGACGAAAATGAGCACTTTTAACGGCATGGATTATGCATTTGAGCCTGTGAGGGACAGGCCGGTAGTGTCTGACGACCACCACATGGAGGACGATCAGTTTCAGGCTCCACCTACAGTACAGGATGGCTTGGGGGAAGTGACCGTGGGCGCGAGCGCTGTGGAGCATGGACACCGCACTGTCGATCTGTTGCAGAGAGGTCAACCTGAGACATTTATTGATCTGCGAAAAATGCATCACCATGCACCGTTCATTTCGGATGCTGTGTGGTGAGAGAAACGTGTTGGAGGAGGCTAAACCATCTCTAATGGATATCCGAGCTGAGACGCGAGCGCCCCATCAGTAACAGGGTATTTTACGAATAGGTGACTAGGCTGGGCTAACTTGTTACACTTTTCTCAGACTGTTTAGATTAACAGCGTCCTGACTGTTCACTCTATGGGCGAGTGGCATTTAAGAAGGAGAATCCCATCCTTTACAGTGAACTATACATCAGGGATCTTTTCCCCTCAGCCGAATATCTAGGATTCGTGTAACGTTAACGTGATGCGTTGAACTTGTAACTTGTGTAAATAAAACATTTGATGAGACATTGTCAGACGTTTCATGTACTCATTGACGAAAGTACATATCTCTAAATAGTGTGTCGCTAAAAAATCTGTTTCCTCAGCCATGTCAGCGCGCCTCAGACTGTTTACAAGCTACAGCTGTTCTGCTGGTGCGGGTAGGCAACGGAGGGGTTATCATGCCAGTGACGTACTCGAATGTTGAAATCCAACATGGCGGCGCCCGTGCAACAAAAACAACACTTTCAATGTAACATTTTATCCCTTTCAACAAATTCTGCCATTTTAAAAATTGTATCAATGAGAATAAATAAAATACATCTGTTATATCACCTTTCCTCAAATTTCAGTTCAGTTCATCTTTAAGGCTAAGCCTACCCATATGGATTTTTATTAACATTTATTTTATTTTGCTAAATGTTTGCAAGAGGTGAGCCAGTGCACGAATATTTTTTTTAAGTATTTAAATTTTCTATGCATAATTTATTTTGTTAAACTACATAAATGCCATTCTGTACCATATCCCAACTGTTACAATAAAACATCATTTGAGCAATATAACATGCATTTTTATTCAGTATATAAGCAATTGTTACGTTCCAATATGTTACGGTCGGACGGACACCACCCTGAACATAGAGGAGAGACGCACACAGGCCAGCTCGTGTCAAAAATAGGGGTATGTTTATTTAGTAGGTCGGTCAACAAGTACCGGATAGCTTCACGAAACACAGACAGATTAGTTACAAAGGCGGAGCGCTTCTGATTCCCGGGGTGGACTGCAAAAGCTCCTACGACAGACAGCACGGCAGTGCATCGACTCAGGCTCTCGTTCTCAGGCTCTGTGTGCCCTCAGGTGTGGGTCCGGAAAGCGATTGTAGTGCAGCGAATGGGCAACAGTTTCCCTAAGACCCTCCAGCAGAAGCGACTGGTTCAAATCTCATCCCTGGTTAGATTACTCGCACTCGAAAGATGCCGTTACTGCTTTGCTGGTGGCCATTTTTCCTCCCCGATGCTCCAATGACAGTTTTCACCTCATTCGAGGGTTATCGTAACTGGAAAAAGCCTACAATGAAAGACAGTGGTTTCTGTTCTCAGGCCAGATCTGAAGGCCATGTAAAGGCAATGTTCGTATGGACAGAAAACAAGAAAACTATGGATAAAAATACTTCAATGTTTGGACTAATGGATGAGCAAAAGAAGAAGCAGGAGGCTGAAAGTCAATACTATATTAAAATGTTTTCCACAACAGTGTGGTTCATGGAAGCTTTCTAGAGTTTGAAGGGGCAGAACACCAGGATGCTGCCGCCTGAAGTGACGAGATTATCTTCTTCCTTGAGTACCATGGGCTGGAGCACAAGAAAAACCTTGTAGGCCAGGGCTACGATGGCAGTGATGTGCGGGGACATGCAGGTGTTCAAGCTGAAATTAAAGAAGAAGCCAAACATGCCACAGTAGTGCACACTGCTTGAACTTAGTTATAGTAGACGCTGTAAACGCATGTATGGCAGATGCAGGAAACTTCTGCTCATTATTGGAACGACTGCATGTATTCATGTCTGGGTCTTATGGACAGAACAAATGGCTGGAAGTGCAGCGGGAGATGTTTGATGGTGCACAAGGGAACTCCAGCAGCAAGTGACACACGTTGGGCCTGTAGGCACATAGCATGTTGCAATGTTATGGACAGGTTGCCTGCAATAGTACAGATGCTTGAAGAGATCGCACCTGAGAACCATACACAAAGAGCTGTCGAAGCAAGAGGGATATTGGCTCAAACTGATCTGAATTTTGCTGGATCTCTTGTTCTGTTCAGAAAAGGTCCTGAGTGACTCCTGAGGAGGAGACAATGCTTGAACCCATTTGGGAGGCTATCAAAGATCGCAGTCTTGGTTTTAGTGCTTCTGCATCCTAATGCTGATGCTGAGAGGGTATATTCGATGGTTGGTTTGAACAAAACCTCAACAACAAAACAGCTTGTCTCAATCATGACCCTGAATTTGCTGGACTTGAGCCGAACTGTTTCAAATGGGAGCCAACGCCAGATAAAGAAGTCCAAAAAAGTCAACAAACACTTTCAATAAATAGTCTCTCTCTCTCTCTCTCTCTCTCTCTCACACACACACACACACACACACACATGGATTGTCAGTGCCATGATTGTGTCAAAGCTTTTCTTCTGCAAGTCTGAGCAATTATTAATAACAACAAAAACACTAATAATAATATTACTAATAAACACCCCCATTCCCGTGACCCGTCACTCTTCTCCGTCTTCAAAACTTGAGAGCTGTTACTAGGCAACAAATAAGCACCACACACACACACACACACACACACACACACACACACACAGACCCAACACCTACAAACACACAAGATACACAAAACGAACACACGGACAATTTTAGCATAAAATCGTATATTTTACATTTACCTTTAAAGTCTTTATAAAGTTTGCTAGACATTGATATTGTGTAGTGTGTGATCCTCCATCAGCAGCTGCAGTTTCTCTCAGCTGTATCAGTGCAGTCACTGTGACGTCTGACTGACAGAGGTTTTTGTACGACTCTTTATCACTGTGTGAACACATGCTGACTGTTGATATAGTGTTCACACTGACAGTAATAATCTCCTGTATCTTCAGTCTGGACTCCACTGATGCTCAGAGTAAAATCACTGCCAGATCCACTGCCACTGAATCTAGATGGAGTTCCAGTATAACGGCTTGTTGCATAATATATCAGGAGTTTAGGAGCTTCTCCAGGTTTCTGTGAGTACCAGGCTAACCGATCATTACCATTCACATTACTGCTGGTTTTACAGTTTATTCTGACTTGTTCTCCTGGTTGAACTGCTGATATTGATGGACTCTGAGTTACAGTGATCTGTCCTCTACACTCTGGAAGAAAACACAAACAGAAATTATTAATATTTATTTCACATTTTAAGAGAATTTATAATTATTATAAAAACTGTATAACACAAACCTTGAGCAAACAGTGCAATGGTCCAGATGAAGATGCAGATGTTGTTCATAGTTGTAGTTTAGTCTTGTGTGATGATGAAGAGTGTGTGTGTTCTGCTCTCAGTCATGAAGTGTTAAACTCACAGCACTATAAACACTCTCAGAGCACTGAAGCATGTGCTGACAATGCAAAGAAGTGGGCAGGATTTACAACAGCTTGTGCTGACAACACACTCATATACACTAGAGTTACACAATCATGACTTTATTTAGTGTGTTTATTGTGACTCCTGAGACACTGAGGATGTGCAGATGAACGTCCATCTCTGTGTCCATATTCAGTCATGTGACCATCATCACTGCTACACTTCCACTAGATGAAGCGCCATCACTAAAGTAAGATCATGAATCATGAGTGTGTTCAGAAAGTATCAGGACTGATTGTGAATCTCAATACAGAGACCCAGAAGATGTTGCCGCCGCTCTGTGTCCTGTGTCTTTAATTGACTATATCTCCCCTTACCAGGTGTTAAATGAGTAAATTGTGGTGGAAATACATGTTGAATGAGTCAAGGCTGTGAAAAATGGCAAATGCCATTCTTTGAAGTGTATTTATTGTTTTTATATTGAAGTCTAAAAGTTCGGTTCAAGTTAACCATGTGTGTAACTGGTGAATGCTAAACTGATGGCAGAGACCATTACAGAAATATGAAAAACAAAGTGAATTCATACATTATTATTTGTGTTTTTGAGTACTAATGTAACAGTTAAGTTAACCGAGTCAGAAGTTACAGGTGAAAGTGCTTAAAAAAGGGATCCTGTTGGTTCATAAGTGAAAGTGTAATGAACGTGTTCATGCTAATGGCTTGTAAAGAGATAATTATTTTACATTTACATTTAGTCATTTAGCAGACGCTTTTATCCAAAGCGACTTACATCTGAGGACTAAAACAAACATGTCATCGTGAAGAGGCAATAACAACACAAGAAGTGCTCAAAATACAATTGTCACGAGGTGACGAAGTTGAAGTGGAACCAAGTCCTGCTGATGTTGTGTTCCCCCCGGAACGGTGCCATTGTAACACCGGGCCGGTTCCGGTTGTATATCTGTCACCATAACAACGGTGGCTAATGACAGATCAACATCAGGTGCGGGGGATTTGCGCTGGGATTTGTGATAGGGCTGTGGAGGCGAATGGAGTGTATAAAAGGAAAGTGAAGAGACAGTCGAGTGTGGTGTTCCCCCGGGAGAAATCGTTTCTTTGGTGGTGTCGCTGATTCGCGGAGGCATCTGGAGAATTTTGTGAGGACTCTGCTATATTGAGGGGCAACGGCGATTGTATGAACACGAGTTGAAGACATCAAAGGATGGGAAGTGAGTGAATTGTGGAGATTGAGTAAAGACTGGAGAACGCTATCACTGAGCCAGTGGTCGATCTGTAAGCAGGTGTCAACGTCTTGAACTTGATGCGAGCAGCGAGTGGCAGCCAGTGTAGAGATGAACAGAGGAGTCACGTGGGCCCTTTTGGGCTTGTTGAAGACAAGACGAGCAGCAGCATTCTGGATCATTTGTAGAGGTTTAGTTGCACATTATGGAAGTCCAGCCAGAAGAGCATTGCAGTAATCAAGCCTAGAAATAACCAGGGCCTGGACAAGAAGCTGTGTCGCCTGCTCAGTTAGGAAAGGCCTGATCTGATGTTGTGCATTGCAAACCTGCATGATCGTGCTGGTCATCAAAGATTACTCCAAGATTTCTGACCGATCTTGATGGGGTGATTGAGGAAGAATTTAGCTGGATAGTGAAGTCGTGCTGTAGAGACGGGTAGGCAGGGAGGATGAGAAGCTCAGTCTTAGCCAGGTTGAGATGCAGGTGATGCTCCTTCATCCATGCTGAGATGTCAGCCAGACAGCTTGATATTTGTGCAGCTACTGTATGATCATCTGGTTGAAATGAGAGGTAGAGCTTGGTGTCATCAGCATAGCAATGGTAAGAGAAACCATGTGCCTGTATGATGGGTCCCAGTGATGTGGTGTAAATGGAGAAGAGGAGGGGTCCAAGTACTGAACCCTGGGGAACACCTGTGGTCAGTTGATGTGCTTTGGATACCTCACCTCTCCATGCGACCCTGAAGGACCTACCTGTGAGACAGGACTCAAACCAGTGGAGGGAAGTTCAATATGTTTGATTCTTTATCAATGATGCATGTAATTTCAGGCAATGCTGTCCTTGCCTCATTTGAGCCCACATTTGTCCTGGAACATGAAGCTATGGTGGAGGCGTCCAAGTCAAGTCAAGTCTCCTTTATTTATATAGTGCTTTTTACAACACAAATTGTTTCAAAACAGCTTTACAGAGATAACAGGAAAGAAAAGTTGTAATAGTATTGTTAAATTCAAAATTAAATGTTAAATGCCAAAAGCCAATGGTGAACAAAGGCGAAAAAGGCGACAGTGGCGAGGAAACAAAACTCCATCAGTGACAGAATGGAGAAATAAACCTTGGCAGAACCCAGACTCAGTCAGGGGCCAGTCCTCCTCTGGCCAACGAACGATCCAGTTCATCAGGTTAGGGGTCGGAGTCATCACGCCGGTGTGGAGACGAGGTTGTTCAGGTGTCCATGAGGCCTTCACAGTGCTTGTACTGGCTAATAAAGCATGAAATAGCCCACCACACCAACTCTCCTGCCTTTGCTGCAACTAGTTAATCTTTTGACTTTTAGAGATTCTCGGTGTGTGTAAGCTGGACGTGAAGGTAAATAAGATAACTTATGCCTAAAATAAAATGCCATATATGAATACTTTACTTGGATTAATTTATTTTTTTAAACTGTTTTTTTTTTCTGTCATTGACCAGTAAGTAAAGGACACACAGTGGCTCTCCCAACATGAAGCAGTAAAAAACCTGCTAAGGAGCAAAACTGCTGTACTGGGTGCCTTGGCAGACGAAGTAGAGACCCGCTAATGTCCTACTGCTAAGAGACTTATTCATTCCTTGCCACCTATCGCTTCATTGCCGGCCTTCATCTGCAAGCTGATGCGTTCCTCACCTGGCACGCCTCTCTAAGCTCTTTCAAAAGGAGGATGTCATGTTCCTGGCAATCAAAGATCAGGGAACTTAAATAACTCAGCTTATTCACAGCTTATTTTCTCCAGGTATCTGTCACCCTGGCCTTAATAAAGGGCACACACGACTCTGGTGGTCATCAACCCGGCTCACACCTGATTAAGTTGACCCACAATGTGGAAGGCTCTTCAGGACTGGGTGCATTTCTGCATCTCTGCCGAACAGGAAAGAGGGAGAAGAGGGGTAAAGCAGGAGACACAGCAGTACTGCCAAAGATTTCAATCACAGGGATGATTATGTGGCTTTTGTCGGACTTTATTGATCTAAATGAAATATTGTACAGTTTTATTTATACTAATAGTTTACTGACATTTTTCATGTGTTTGATTAGGTCATCTGTTCCCAACAGGGGGGTCGCACCCCACAAGGGGGCCTCAGCGAGCTCTGTGGGGGGTCACGGCATATTTTGAAGGTTTGAGCAATGAGCATTAAATAAAAGTCCTTAACTTTTTTCTGTTCAAAATTTACAAAATCTATATGAGTGTCCCTCATTTGCAGCACCCTCCTCCCCCCTTCTGCCGCTCATGTGCATTTGTTATTATCGGAGCCGGACAACTTTATCATGTGGAGGTATGTCTACCGAGGTGGGTAACACATCACACACAGGATCATGTGGCGTGTGTGTTAATGTCAAATTGCAGAAGATGATTGGCCATAAAACATCAGCTGGTCGGGATTTCTGAACTGTATGGGCACACATGAACACAATCTGCTGATAACAGACACTTTTACAGGGAAGCGCGTCAAATTATCCACTATTAACCACATTTTATGCCAAACATTGGAGATCCGTACACTCCACATTTGTGTCCTTTTAAGTAAAAGATATTAGGTTATATCTTACATGTTTACTTACATCATAATAAACAAATGAATAAAGTGTGTGAAAGGTTTGATATTGTGTAGTGTGTGATCCTCCATCAGCAGCTGCAGTTTCTCTCAGCTGTATCAGTGCAGTCACTGTGACGTCTGACTGACAGAGGTTTTTGTACGACTCTTTATCACTGTGTGAACACCCATTTACTGTTGATTACATGAAAACTCTGACAGTAATAATCTCCTGTATCTTCAGTCTGGACTCCACTGATGCTCAGAGTAAAATCATTGCCAGATCCACTGCCACTGAATCTAGATGGAGTTCCAGTATAAAGGTTTGATGTCTGATATATCAGGAGTTTAGGAGCTTCTCCAGGTTTCTGTGAGTACCAGGCTAACCGATCATTACCATTCACATTACTGCTGGTTTTACAGTTTATTCTGACTTGTTCTCCTGGTTGAACTGCTGATATTGATGGACTCTGAGTTACAGTATACTGTCCTCTACACTCTGGAAGAAAACACAAGCAAAAATGATTAATATTTATTTCACATTTTAAGATAATTAATAATCATTATATAAACTGTATTACACAAACCTTGAATAAACAGTGCAATGGTCCAGATGAAGATGCAGATGTTGTTCATAGTTGTAGTTTAGTCTTGTGTGAT